AAATAATGACTCAATAACTTTTTAACGGCTTAGTGAATCGATTTGTAATTTTTACAGGAGTTTTAGAATTGAATGAGGAACGTTCTTCCAAATTTTTATTTGTCTCGTAGCATTTGACATACCTCCCAAACATCCTGATATATAACCTTATAATTACATATCAATCTTCATATATATATAAATTGCAATAATTTTTTAACGGTTTAGTGAATCGATTTGTAATTTTTACAGGAGTTATAGAATTGAATAAGGAACGTTCTTCCAAATTTTTATTTATCTCGTAGCATTTGACATACCTCCCAAACATCCTTAACAGTTAGCGCTTGTATGAAGCTTTTCCTATTGGATAGTTCAGCGGTTCCCAAGTTTTTCCATTACGGAATGCTTTTTGATCTACCCTTTTTTAGCGGAACCCCATCTCGACAAAAAAGTAAACTAATAATAAAACCCTTGGCATTTTATTGTGTAGGAACATGTTGTAATTAGTCCAGTCAACCAACAGTTTACGGTCCAAATAAGTAAGGAATAGCACTAGATTCGAGAGTAATATATACATTTAAAAATTTTGGTAAATATCTAATAAAATAAATGAGTCAAACTGCTTTGTCTATCAGACAACAAAATGACTAAGGAAGAAACATGAATGAACCAATGAACAATTGTATCCAATCGCCTTGCATTTCGGAATCCAGATTAAGTCCTGAATTTTCTCACAGAGTAAAAACGTAGGAAACAGTGTAGATCGATGCGTGTCCAACAGTCTTAAGATTAACGACCCCATGATGATGACTACATTACACATCAAAAATTTTATGTCCTTGCCATCCGAATGTGTTATTAATTTTTGTGTTTATGATGACCTACTAAATGGCGCAAAGCCGAATTTGTCTCAACTGCTATAACTAATTCCTTTTTATGGTATTTTAATAACATTTTATGTGAACTAAGCGCAAGAGTTTCATTATGTGTATGCTTAATTTGTATATCTTTATGGACGGCAGGTTTATAACAGTAGTTTCACTTAGTTTGCTCTTATAGTTACGTTATTATTATATGAATTATACTGGTCATGGTTTTACATGTTTCTTCGGGGAACTGAAAATATTTGAAAATCTCGGAATAAAAAAAAACATTGTTGAATCACTTTCTTCAAAGAATAGCTCACTTATGAATGCTGTAAAACATGCACACTGTTAATTATTCTTTTATAAAGCAAAAATCTAACATTTAAGTTACTTGTAATTTTGAAAACAGAATGTACAAATTTCTCATACATTTCGGGGAGGGGGGAGGGTTAGAACCAAAACCCTGCCCTGCGTTCGCTCCTGGTCTTTAGACCCGAATCAGGATAGCACTAGTTCTGATCTACGTTGCAGTACATACTTTTTAAATGCTCCTTGTAAGTCCATCCATCACATTGACATCATCATCTTAAGTTAATCAGTCCTAAGGACACGCTCCTCCACTTTTTCCTATCCTGAGATAATTCTCACATTTCCTCAAAACTAGAACAACCCACATCCTTGACATTTGCGAACAGCAATCTAATCCAAGTCTACCTCTACTCCTCTTAAGTCCTCTAATATGTCTCTGACTAGACCTTCATCCCTGAGAAGGTATCCTACCAACCCATCTCGCCTATTTCTTATTGACTTCAATGGAGTCCTCCGTTCTCCTATTCTTCCTAAGACCTCTTCATTTCTAATCTTTTCTGATCTCGTTTTCGATTAGATTAAAAAGTAACAGTGACAGTGTGCATCCTTGTCTAACCCCTTTCCTAACATTTAACATTTTCAAAAGCTTTTTCTAAATTCTTTCCTTCTTCTATCGTTTTCTCTATTGTTACCCGTAAAGCTAGAATGGCCTCCCGCGTTCCTCTATTTCTTCTGAACCCAAATTAATTTTCCCTTAATAGTTCTTCGGCTCTTTTTTTTTATCCTCTGTAGAATACTAGTTAGGATTTTGACGTATGGGAAGTTAAGCTAATTGTTCTAAAAGTCTCGCACCTATCCGCGCCTCTCTTTTTAGGTATAGTTACTACCACGTTCCTTTTATAATCCTCTGGTACTTTTCCCGTCTCGTAAATGTGACTAACTGTCTTAAACATACTATCTGAATTCAGAATATCCACCTGTATCTGATCTATATCTGGCGCCTTATTATTCTTTAAGTTTTTTAATGCTACATCGAACTCTTCTCTCATTATGGGATAACCAAGCTCATTTATCTCCACACTATCTTCCTTCTCTAATACATCTCCTAACTCATGGCCTGCGTATAGGTTCTCTAAATATAAGAGATTCTCATACTGTAATTTTATGATTCCGTCGAGCAGCGTTTAGTAAATTGGGTTTGGTTAGATATGATAGATTGAGTTTAAGAACTGCACTATAAATGCATACAATTTCTAATATTAAATATTAATTTAATGTAATATTCATCTTGCAAATTAATAGTTCTGAATAGTAAATTAAAAAAAATACAACGTGTAATTATACAACACGCTGTGAAAGTGAAACTTCTTCAAACACATAAACATACCGGGATAGGGGTTAAGGAATTGGTTTAATGGTATTATTTGTACACTATGCTTCGCACGGGTGCAATGCTGATAGTAAATATACTATAGAATGTCTTTATATACAACAATCACAGCTTTTTTGTCATAAAACAATATAAACCGGCCGGTACCGCCGCAACCGCTATGTCCCTGCATTTTAAGTCTGTAATATCTTCGAAAATATTCATTTAAATTACATGCTGTAAAGGGCCATATTGATCTATATTAAATGCACAATGTATTTAAAAGTACTCAACTAAATAAGGATTAATGCTGTATTGCTTAAAATCGCTTCCTAAATAAGCCGTTATTTCTCATAAAAAATAAAGGATAAAAGATGGTTATTGTAGGTTATCCCTAAAAGATAGACATATACCACCGCGGACTTTTTTGTAAACCTTTTTGATGTGTACTATACTGTCGTACATTATTTTGATCTATCTCGTAGGGTTCAGTCAGTGTTTGCAATGTAAGCGCAAAAAACTGTATTTATTTACAACATCACATTAGAAACCTCTGAAATTATCAGTATTTCTTTACTATATTATACATATGAACCTTCCTCTTGAATCACTCTATATATTAAAGAAAAACGCATCAAAATTTGTTGTGTAGTTTTAAAGATCTAAACAAACATAGAGACAGACAGCGGGGGAAATACGTTGCATAATTTCGTTACATAGCAACTCGCATGAAACGAACTTACCCTACCTTTTCACTTCAAAAATTGTTTAACCAAAAAGTTATATTTTCGTAATTTAGTTGCCTGCAGTGCACATACATATGTACATTTGTTGAATAAGTGTAGAAAATGTTAAACATTTCGTTTTGTTTTCGATTCGATAAATTGTCATACAAGTACTTTGTTTCTATTTATAGATGCACATAAATTATTTATTTAGATAGGTATAGGATTTTAAATGCATGAGACAGATAATACCATATGTTTAAGCAGTGATTCTGTAAACCGCCTCCCTTTGTGCCATAGCTATCTAATAACTGCGCTACAAAAAATTATAATTTCGTTATGTGTTATTGCAGGGTAAGTATTGGCCTTTCTTAATTAAATTGGATGTTTTACACATTAAATACTTAACAGGTTAATTTTTTATGTCAATTTTACTTGAAAAATTTCGACTGTATAACTAACAACGTATAAATAAAATAAAGATTTTTATCTTCTTTGATAGAAAAATTCTTAAATGCCTTTAAAATTGTTTTTTGAAATTCCCGAAAATTGAGAAAGGAAAAATAAATAAATATCCAAATAAAATATTACTTGTGTTGACGTATGTAACGGAAAACATAAGTGTAAGTTATTTTATTTCAGATATCTACCCATATTCTACAATTTTTTATAACTATGTCTTTGGCTTTCTGCAAAGGTGATACAATAATATGCAATGGTGATGTCAACAGTAGACTACGACTTTTCCAAAACATATCGGATTATCACTTTACCACCATTGGTTTTAATCCCATGCGAAAAAATTTCAGGGGTAATTATGTTGGTTTTAAATCTGGTAACATGGAAATATTAGAAAGAAACTTCTTCGCCACATTTGATTCTCAGAATATCCTAAAAATGTACTTACACCATCAGAATATCAAGAAAATTGATCCGGGAGCTTTTCTTTTTATGGATTGTTTGAAAACTCTGGACTTACACGCTAACGAAATAGAATCACTATCAGATGAAATATTTTTAAATTTGGATCGTATTGAAGAACTGGATTTAAGTGATAATAAACTACAGGAGATTTTACCCCTTACCTTTAACCACACCAGAACGTTAAAATCGTTAAACTTGTCTAACAATAAGTTAGAAAGATTATCAATAAATTCATTTTTCCAGTTAAGACATTTAGAAAAGTTGAACTTATCTTATAATGCTCTTACAAATATTAGTGACACAACTTTTGATCATTTGATTTGTCTTAAAATTCTCTTACTAAATGGGAATAAATTAATGAAAATTAATCCAGAGAAATGGTACAATTTGTTTCATCTGAAAGTCCTAGACTTGTCAAAAAATTTCCTATCGAATTTTGATACAGGCTACAAATTTTCGTTTGGCATGACTCTTAGTTGTCTTAATCTTACCGATAATCGTCTTACACAATTAAATATTTTTGGACTGTTAAAGAACATTCCCAATGTGTCTGTTCTGGGAATACAACAAAACAGGTGGCTGTGCTCAGACCTTGAATTAATGCTGAACATATTACGGGGCAGTAATATTAGTTACGTAGGGACCAGTAAGAAAGGTGCCCAAATTGATGGAATCAGTTGCTACAATCGAGCAGAGGAAATTTTTTCTCCCGATAAACATGCAATCAGTGAAATAAAAAGGAATGCTGATTATCACTTTAATGGTTTGACTCATCAGGCACAAATCATGATGATAGTCATTATGTGTCTTTTGGTAATTGTAGTTGTAATTCTTCTCTTAGAAGTATTACTAAGATTCAATCTCAGAGATGTTTTAGGAATAAGAGGAAATCGTTCCGGTTTGGACAATTATTCTAATGTCGAACAAATTGCTTTGATTACAAGGTGATTTTTCTTTTTTTTTAATATTTATATAATATTTGTGTATTGAATTCTATTTGTTTGAGTACTTGGAAATTGATTAAATATTACATATTCTTATGGATAATCTATTTAGTTGCCTATTTATTTATTGAATCCATAAACATAATGTAATAGATGCTTATAAATTTTGAATAAAAAATGAATCTTAGCGTCATCATTTAAAAATGTTTCAATTTTTCAACACATTATTACTTAATTAGGTTCTTGATTAAATTAACTAAATTAGATATTAAAAGCGAAATATGGTGTATTACTGTTGTCTCAGATTATTTAGGATTAAGAAACCTTAAAGCCCCTCAGTATAGTACAATTCCACCCCGAAATCAATAATAACTCCAAGTAAAATTTTAATGATGGTCTTATTCCGTTCCGGACCTTTATTTTGTAATAATTTTGATGGTACTGATCCATCCGGTCGGGTCGTACCAAACGGTGTGGTGGAACAGCACAAATCTCAGAGAGAAAAATAACATTGTGGAAAATAAAATTCTAAAGATATTTTTACATAGGTATATATTAATATTTTTACATATTTTGTTATACAAATTACACATAGAAGATCATCATTAAACCTACGGCTTATAGATATTATAGGTTATGGTGGGTAAAAGTTTTTCTCTTTAATGTCCAATTACCTGAAAACTTTCCTAATAACGACAGGACCGAGCTTGGTCCAAGCTTGACCGAAAATTATTCGATTGCGGTTCAAGATTGATAACCAATATTGGACTAAGCATGACAAATGCCCGGTTTGCCACTTCGGTCCATGCTTTGTTGGCATGATTGGTCCACCAATACTGAATTAAAGAATGGGTAGTCAATATTGAGCCAAGATTTGACGAACAATTGCAACTCAAGATTGGCTGCTAATATTATACCAAAACTTGAACAAAATTAATGTAAGATTAGGTAATTGCGTCGCTTTCCATCTTGACCAATACTTCGTTGTCCAGTATTAGTTATAGCGAAACGTTTATACGAGGGCGGTTCAATAAGTACCTGTGTTAGAAATGATGACACCTTTTTTTTAATTTTTCAAGATAGTCCCCTTTTAGAAAGATACACTTCTCCCAACGACCTTGCCATTTTTTTACCTCTCCAAAAATAAGATTTGTCGAACTCTCCAAAATCCCCCCTGTCTCCGCGATGACTTCATCGTTTGAGCTAAATTTTTTTCTCGCTAGTCATTTCTTCATGGTAGGGAACAAGATGAAGTCGCAGGGAGTCAAATCGAGTGAGTACGGGGTGTGCGGCAGCAAATTCATAACGTAATTCATGGAGTTTGGCGGCAACAACTCTTGATGAATGTGTCGGTGCGTTATCGTGTTGAAAATGCACCTTCTTTTTCGTCAAATACGTCCGTGTCACCTTCAATTTTTTGTCGAAGCGGTCCAATAACTCACTGTAGTATTGTCCAGTGATCGTTCTTCCTTTTCCTAAAAGATCCGTAAAATGATTTCCTCTGTAACAACGTTTGCCAGGCTTCCTGGTCGCTCCTATCAAAAACGTATCTTTGCCCACGTTTAAATTCGTTAAAGCAATATCTAACTGTGGTCATAGATGGCGAAATGTCTCCATAAACAGTATCCAACTTTGGTTTCATCTCCTCGCATTTTTTCTCATCCAAAAACAAAAAGCGGGTTACCGAACGATACTGCTCTTTTTCCATCTTAGCGAAAATAATGAAACACGTCTCAGTCGAATGGCTGCCAATGGTTTGATAGATGGCAGCACACGATGACAACACCAATTTCCCTCAGGAACGTTCTCTGTCTTCAAATACGGGTACTTATTGAATTGCCCTCGTATACATAGCCTTAACACTCGAAATTTGACCCCACTTTGATCCAGAATAGACAAACCTATACATAACTGCCCAGTATTGAACCAAACTTGGCGAAACATATTGTACCTAAGACTTGGTATTTGATGTTTGGCCGAACGCTGACAAGATTGGCTTCCCAAAAATTAGCCAATGTTTGGGTCTGTCGGCAAGTCTAGCATTTCCTACTTGGTTTATCAGAAAAACACCCTCCTTAATTATCCTTTTACTTGCTCTACTTTGTTTAGGATGTCCACCCCGTTTCTCTATAGAAGCACCTTTTGTAAAATCTTCAGTAAAAGTTCTTTGAAACCATTATTATTTACTAACAATATGCAAGTACATTTAAATATGTTAAATAAAACTCATTCGTTTCAAATAATTTTGGCTTGAAATGCTGGAAAATAAGTGTAATTTAGTAAACAAGTTGTGGGAGGTTATTTATTAGAGGACCTGTTTTGATAGTTAACAATCTCGACAAAAAGTTTCATAATAAGCGGTTTGTTTTCATAAGTTATAAGTAGAAATGTGCAAAATGATTTTTTAAAAGTATTTAAATACAAAATGCAAATACTTTTTTGATTTGTTATTTCAAATGTAAAATACACAATAGATTTCCCTTTTGTATTTTAAATGTTAAATGCAAAATACTTTTTTCAAATAAATACTTTTTTTGTAGTAGGTACGTATTTAATTTTCTAGATTTACTTAGGTAAGTATAAAATATTTTTTAAGAAAACATTACAGGCATTTACTAATTTTTGTAGTATTTCTAGGTTAATAGTGATTATATGCTGGGAAGATTAAGTATGATTCATATTTTTGTGTTTGAAGTGATTCGAGATATAGTTTTTCTATGTGTATGTTATAGTTTCTTCAGTTCAGCAACAAATAATTCTTTTATATGCTTCCTTATTTGCCTTTGACACCCGTTTTAATTGGAAAAAAGACACTGATGCCAAAATAGTTTGTTTAGCATGAAAGATCAGAACCAAAATTAGGTTGCAAATAACTGTAAAATCGACATCAAATATTTTATATCAAAATAATTCCAACCCCATTTTGTTTCTAATCTTTTACACATTGTAATAAGAGAAAGAAATGGAATCCATTTTCTTTAGCTTTGGGTTCATCTAATAATAATAATTTTGGATTATACGCATTTACTAGCACACCACAATATCTTGTAGTTTTATGTAGGTAATGTTTGACCTGTGATACTAGCAAAACTTTCAACGGCAAAAATGTATTTTGCTTTTTACAAATAGAAAATACGTTTGGAAAAGTATTTTAAATAAAATACAAAATGTTTTTCTCAAAAAAGTATTTAAATGCAAGATATAATTAGGCATTTTTGATTTTGAATTTGCATTTTAAATGCAAGTATTTCAAATAAATCACATCCCTGGAAATAATATCGGTAAAATGTTCCATTAGAGTCTTTTAATACACACGTATACAAATTTCGTAGGCGAAAATTCGGATCTTGGCCTCATATGTATTCCTAAAAGGCCTTTTTCTATCTAGTTACCTTTACGTAATTCGTCGAAAGGCTTGACCTTATGATCAGAGGTGTAATAATTGTTTGGTTGCCATTAAGCATGTTATAAATATTTCTGGGCTGGGTTACAAATCGTAGCCAACATGTGAATTACTTATCTCCATATGATACCTACATGAAGCGCGTACAGAGAGCTTTTCTTCGATTAATTGATAGGTACATTTAATTCTAATAATCTAATAAACTAACGTAATACTAAAACTAGTCAATATACATGTTGTACATTTACTAAATATTGCTGGAGATAGTCTTATTATTACACTAGTAAATAGAAAACAAACAGAAACCTACATGCAGAGAAATAATATACGCCTTTTGTATATAAACTGCAAAAGTTACAATTTTTATATAAATCTAACTGTTCTGCTAATTACAGCATTTGCGAATTTTATTTTACTTTTAAATTACGTGTACTATGTTCCCATTTCGTTGATGGTGACGTCCTACCTATGTAAGTCATATTAATCGTAATTCATTAACGGGGTGGTCAATAAAAACTGATCTTTTGTACTGAAATATTTTCAAAGGGCGTCAATTTAATCGACATTTAAAATATTTAACAAGTTTTATAATAAATGAGTATTTCATTTAAGTACCTGATAGTCGATTTACTATTAATTAATAATTAAGACCCTATTATTGTAACAAGCTTAATTTTTAGAATAAGCGTACCTATTTTTAGTACAGTCAAGTCACTTTAGGAAGGCCAAGTCCGCAATAAATTTTTTAGATCCAAACAAGACTACTTTACCCTTTTGTTTCACAAATTTCGAATACAGAATGTTTCTAATCTAATAGAATTATCAGAACATGCTAATGAAAGACAAAAAGTAATCGTGTAGATCATATTTGATGATAAGATATAAGTATATCTGTCCAATACTTTACTGTCAACTTCGCCTTCTGAAACTGACCCGACCATAGCTTGACTAACGTGAGTGATTTTATTATAATATACAGTGTGTTACGCTCTTAGGCATTTAAACCAGAAATGCACAGATACTAAATCCAACTATGCATTAGATTAATAAGAAAGGAAAAACAAAAGAAAATCTTTTTAACGTGCCTACATATCGATGCTATGAAGTTTATAGAGTATCGTAATTTTATGGCGTAACATAAGCTGTTTAATAACTTATTACGTCTGTAGCGGCTTATTAATAATAATCGTATTGAAATCATTTTCCTAATCACCCTGTACATATTGCATCGATCTTCCGACATTATCCTGACAAACATATTTTTGCAGCCTGACAATACATTTGTACGTATTTCTGTGATTGAACACTTATTTCATCTTTGAGTCACTCAATAATCTGTTGTTATGGTTACAGTGTATTAAATAAAATTATTGGTTGAACTTTTCACTTGTTTCAATTGTTTTCCTAATCGTACATCATGAAACTTTATAAACTCATTATCAGAAAAGGTTATAAAGTGTCTTTTATCCAGAAATAAAATATTGTTCCCGAGGGATCGAAAAATTACTTTGATGTGGTCGTCGATGATTTTTGACACATATTTAGAACACCAATGAGAGGGAAGCCGCGGGTAAAACCTAGTATACTGTAACAGATATTGTTTAAGTATATTTAATAAGAAAAGCGAAGTGTTTAAGAAAGAAAAGTAAATAAAAAGTACGTTCAATTATTTGTTTTCTGAAGAAAGCGGTTCTTTTGA